TATTAATAAAAATCCGAACTTTTGTTCATCTTCTTGTGTTTAGAATTCTTAGAGTTTATCACAAAATCCTTGTGTCGAAAAGGGTGTTCCACCGCATAGTTCGTCATAAGCTCGAGTTTGGCAAGGATTCACATCCGAGTTGTCTCACCTATCGCGAGAAGACAAGGAGTTTAACCTCCGAATCGTCCGCACCACGCCGAGAAGGATCCGTTTGCGCGCAAATTCAGGGCAATCTTATATCCGGGTCACGCGATCTTCATCATTGGTGCTTTCATTGAGAGTATTAGATCGTGTGTCTTTTTCTTCCCTATTCTTTTTTATTTATTTTATTTTCGTTTTCTTTATTTTTTTTGTTAATAAAAAAAAAATAAAATAAAATAAATATATTATATATCTTTTATTTTTTATTTCTTTTTCGCGTGAGTATTGTTAGAAAAAAAAATAGTTCAGTTTTATTTTGAGAGATTTGCGTGAGGTGTAGGAAAAAAAAAAAAAGAGATCTATGGCCAAAGAAACCAAGGAGAAGCTCGGCGACCTTGAAGCTAGGATGGTGAGCTTAAGCGAAGGATTGGAGGCCACAAACAACACCATGACGAGCAACATGGCTCATCTCGAGCAATCATTCCATAACGCGCAACAAGACATGATGGAGGCCATGAATCGCCGCATCGATGAAGTGTTGTGCATTATTCGACCACCACCACCATGACCACGAGGAAGAGAACGAGCAAGGGCACGGTCGAGAGAGTTTGAACGCGAGAGGCCCGAGTTCGAAGAGAGGGAGGAAGATTTCGATCATCGCTCGCAAGCTTCGACCAACCAGGAGAGACCGAGGATCGAGAAGCCGAGGTTGGTACTATCTACTTTCAATGGGACGGATCCAGACGCATGGTTAAACCGAGCGATACAATACTTCAACATCAACGAGATCCATCAACCCGACTGGGTTAGGTATGCTGCGTACTACCTTGACGGCGAGGCAAACGTTTGGTGGCAATGGCTTTCAAGCATCTACCAAAATAGAAACGAGCAAATACGGTGGGTAGACTTTGAAAAAGAGCTCATCGCGAGGTTCGGGGCTTCTGATTACCATAATTATGATGAGGCTCTATCACACATCAAGCAAATGGGTAGCCTACGTGAATTTCAATGGGAGTTCGAACGCTTAGCTTGTCGTGTACGTGGGTGGCCCGAGAGCGCGCTCATTGGGGCATTCGTCGGAGGTCTAAAATTTGATCTCGCTGTAGAAGTTCGATTGGAGAGGCCTTCAACAATGCGGGAGGCTATGGAGATTGCACGAAGGAGGGACGATCACTTGGTGGCGACTCGAAAAGCCAGACGTGGGGAAGCAAATCCCACCGAACCTTCCCGCACAATGTCGAGCGCGCCTGTTGACAACCGAGGTGTGAACGGGGAAAATTCTGGTAATTACCGACCTTCTCCACCTGAAGTTAAAAAAGTTATCATATGAGGAGATGAGAAATCGAAGAGAAAAAGGGCAATGTTATAAGTGTGGAGAAAGATTCACACCGGGTCATCGGTGCAAGCAAGCATACATGATACAAGTGGTCTATTCCGATGACGAGGAGGAACTCGAGAAAGTGGAAACGAGGCACTACGTCAAAGAGGACTTGGAAATTTCTGTTAATGCAATGTCGGGAGTGCATGGGCCGAGAACCATTAAGTTGCCCGCCTCAGTCCGAGGACGATCTATCAAGGTGTTAGTTGATACCGGGTCGTCCCACAATTTCATTAGTGCCATTTTAGCGGACGCATTGAAGTTACCGGCAACAAAGGTGGATCCATTCGATGTAAGGGTTGCCAACAGGGAGAGGCTACGATGCGATAAGTACTACCGAGATGTGCCCATCAACCTTCAAGGCGAGACCATCAAGGCCGACCTCTACTCATTACCGTTGGTGGGGCCTGACATAGTTCTTGGGGTACAATGGCTAGAAGGACTTGGAGAAGTCAAAATAAATTATAAGGAGAGGATAATGGAATTTTATTCGGACAATAGATTGATCATATTGAAAATCGAACCGAGG